GAAATACTTGCGCTTAAAACTCTCAGGAGACTGGAGAATTCTATTGAGAGGTTCGTATCTGCCAAAGTGCCTCACAGAACAGGAGCCCGGCAGAGAATTTGGCTCCTCAGCCGTTGTTAAATTTGTTTGGCTAATATGTAGCTCATAAAGTGTCATTTTATCACATGGTTCCCATACCTGGTGACGACCAAGAAGGAGGCCTTCCCACGGGGTTGAGTCCTTGAACTCCTTATTCCGTCCATCAGTGAGGGGTCATGGGTGGAGGTGGTTTCTGTCATGCTTAATTATGAGTCAACTAGGACAGCAGTAAAAAGGCAATGACCATCATTACTGCCCTAAACCTGCTTTACAGGAACTAAAGTGTCTGCTTCTCTAACTAATCCCACCGGCCATCCCAGCTCTACCATATTATTTACAGAATTTGCCGTGATCAGGGCAGCTACCTGTTAAGGGTGTTTGGCTAAAGAAATAAATAGCTGCTCTTCAGGCTGCAACTTTCGTTAGTTTCATCCTGTTTTTGTTTCAATTTCCTGTTGGAATTGATTTTGGTGGCTGATGGTGCAGGCTAATGAAGACAATTAAAATGCCCAGCATAAGGCACAGACGGCAGGAATAACTGAGTGGCCCTCCTCCAGGAGCCTGCTGCCTAGGGCTGCGGATAGAATTATACTGCCACCTCGTGGTGAACAGTGGCACCTGCTCTTAAAAGGCTTGGCTTTTTCTTAAGATTGAATCACGTGTTGATTAAAATCATGAACTGAATGGATGTACAAGTATGAGAGATTATGGAGCTTTTAGTCCAGGATAATTATCCAGCCCAACTTCTGAGAGGATCCTCAACAGAAGTCCTATAACCTGAATTACTGATCTTTCTCAGGGCCAGAGGACAGGTACCCCCTGTAGTCTGGAATTATATAATATTGGGGTGGGGAGGAAGGCTACACCTCTTTTACAGCAGTGTCATACATTTGTGTTAAATTACAGTCTCTGGTCATGATGCAGTGCAGCCGACATGAAGCCTATTCTAAAGCAAAAAGAATTGATGTACAACTATTCGACAATCTGCTCTTTCCTTAATATTACAGTCTTCTGCAACTCATCTTAGGGGGGCATTCGGGTGCCATGATGAATGTTTGCTGAGGAATAATGAATGGTCCTCCTTTGCCCTATGTTGAATAACTCATAGAATATTTGCACATGTGGTCTGACAAGGGACTATTTTTTAAACTTTGAAGACATGATATTCTATAATTGAATGCAATTTTATTGTTAGGTAAGAACATGATTGAGAGAAATGGGCTTAAATATCTCCATGAAAGAATCATGAGAGGTAGCCCCAAATTGTTCATGTATTTCTGCTGGTGTGGATTAATTCTGGGTACTCAGAAAATATCTTACTTGACGTAGGAATTAGCAGAAAATAAGATGGTCTTCAAGGACCAGTAACAGTGTCCTGGGCTTTGCAGCCTTGGGTCGTCTTCTCCACGTGGAACCTGGTTGGTATAAGGCACAGTGTGTGATCTGGAAAATGCCATCATTACAGCAGGGGCCCTTCCTTGTCAGGGAACTTCTTACATCCCAGACACTGTGCCTCGTGTCCTCTTATTCTGTCCTTCTATCGCTAATCCTGAGAGAAGCCTTCTGGCCAGGGGGAAGGATGCTGATTCCCCCACTGCTGAAAATAAACTAAATGAGGACTCCTAAGCACTGCGTTTAAGCTCGGTGAAACCAGTGCACGAGGGTACAGCCATGGGAGGAAAGGCCATTGCACTTCTTGGAAAGTCCTGGACCATCCACACCAGGCCTCCACCCTCATCTCCACCAAGAAAGAAGAACATGCAAGTCATATGTGTGCATCTACACACGTGGGGGGAGGTGGTCCATCTACAAGTATGGGGCAGGAGCAGTCCATCTACACACATGGGAGAGGCAGTCCATCTACACACATGGGAGAGGCAGTCCATCTACACACAGGGGAGGGGGCACTCCACCTACACACATGGGAGGGGACAGTCCATCTACACACACGGGAGGGGACAGTCCATCCCCACACCTGGAGGAGGCAGTCCATCTACACACATGGGGGAGGAGTCCATCTACACACAGGGGAGGGGGCAGTCCACCTACACACATGGGAGGGGACAGTCCATCTACACACAGGGGAGGGGGCAGTCCATCTACACACATGGGGGAGGGGACAGTCCTTCTACACACATGGGAGGGGACAGTCCATCTACACACAGGGGAGGGGGCAGTCCATCTACACACATGGGAGGGGACAGTCCATCTACACACAGGGG